TCCTGATGATTTACCCCTCCCCCTCCAGATGATTCCCCCCTCCCCCTCTTGATGATTCCCCTCTCCCCCTCTTGATGATCTCCCCCTCCTGATGATTCCCCCTCCTGATGATTCCCCCCTCCCCCTCCTGATGATCCCCCTTCCCCCTCCTTATGATTTCCCCCCCCTCCCCTCCTGATGATTTTCCCCTCCCCCTTCTGATGATCCCCCCTCCCCCTCCTGATGATCTCCCCCTCCTGATGATTCCCCCTCCTGATGATTCCCCCCTCCCCCTCCTGATGATTCCCCCTTCCCCCTCCTTATGATTTCCCCCTCCCCCCTCCTGATGATTTTCCCCCCCCCCCTTCTGATGATTCCCCCCTCCCCCTCCTGATGATCTCCCCCTCCTGATGATCCCCCTCCCCCTCCTTATGATTTCCCCCTCCCCCTCCTGATGATTCTCCCCCTCCTGATGATTCCCACCCTCCCCCTCCTGATGATCCCCCTCCCCCTCCTGATGATCCCCCCCTCCCCCCTCATGATTATTCCCCCCTCCCCCTCCTGATTATTCCCCCCCTTCTGATGATTCCCCCCCTTCTGATGATTCCCCCCCTCCCCCTCATGATTATTCCCCCCTCCCCCTCCTGATGATCCCCCCTCCCCCTCATGATTATTCCCCCCTCCTGATGATTCCCCCCCTTCTGATAATTCCCCCCTCCCCCCCCTCCTGATGATCCCCCCTCCCTCTCCTGATGATTCCCCCCCCTTCTGGTGATTCCCCCCTCCCTTCCTGACCAGGCCGGTTTTTGCGCTCTGATTTGTTACTGGCCGGTCACCAGAAGGGAGAGAAGCCTCAGGATTGGCTCACATTACAGAAATGCAGTCCTGATGCATTCCAATGCGTTTTTGACGCGTTGTGGTTCATTCCCCCCCCCCCTCTCCGATTTCTGCCGCGGCATGTGTTCAGTCCTGATTGGCTGCCTCTCTGTATAGAGGTGGGCAGGAAAACCGCGGCTCAACCACCTGCCTTTACCATCACGATCCCTTAACCAGCTATTTATTTTATTTTTGGCTTTAACTGTCCCCTATTCTGTCAGACATGAAGGAAAAAAAAGCTTTGTCTTTAGACACACAGTCCTGGATTAGTTCCGGAACATTCGGAAGGATGCTGTCCCCATCCTCTCGGAGGGGGGGGGTCACAGCTGTCCCATGTCCTCTCTGTGGGGGGGGGGGGGTCAAGGCTGTCCCATCCCCCTCTCTGTGGGGGGTGGGGGGTCAAGGCTGTCCCATCCCAAGGGAATGAGATGCAGATTCTCACAGATTCCTTCCAGACCCCAGAAAACAATTTGTATCTTTTCTGATGGTCCGGGAGGAGCTTCCATGTACAATAGGGATCATCCGAAGACAAATTCTGTGCAGGAAGGTGGCGGGAAATGTCCTCACATGGAAGATCCGAGCCGATAACACAGAGATGGAAGGCTGGAAGATCTAATGAGGAAACTTTACACCGATCAGGGCAATGACCCCGATCCGACCCCATCCAACCTGACCCGATCCAGCCCAACCCGATCCAATCCCACCTCACCTGATCCGACCTTACCTGACCCGATCCAATCCAACCCGATCCAATCCAACCCGACCCGATCCGACCTTAACTAATCCAACCTCATCCGACCCGATCCGACCTTACCCGACCCAAGCCAATCCAACCTGACCCAATACGACCCGATCCAATCCAACCTGACCCAATCCAACCTGATACCACCTGCTCTGACCCAATCCAACCTGACCCAATCCAACCTCATCCGACCCAATCCAACCTGACTTGACCCGATCCAACCTGACCCAATCTGATCCACCTTGACCCAATCCAACCTGGCCCGATCCGACCTGAGCTCATCCGACCAGATCCAACCTTACCCGATCCAACCTGACCCGACCCAGAACAGCAGAGAAAATGCTGCAAAGCAGTCCCTCTTCCACATCACGTGACCCTCAATGACCAAATAAATACTATTTACGCCCCGCCCACTACTGAGAATCCCAACCAACCCCCAACCCAGAAAACGGCCAGAAATGTCATCGACTCGGATTTCCTTCCCTGATCTCTAAAATACTAATATAAAGTCTCACTAATCCCCCCCCCCCCCCCCCCGCAGTACAATCAGTCTGTAGATGCAGCAAAGCGTGCTTGTTATACTGACTGTGGGACCTAAGGGGTTAATCCTCTGCATTGTGTAAAAAGGCTGTTTGATCCTGTCTTCTCTGATCCTCCCCTTCTTCCAGTGCCCCCCTCTTATCTCCTGATAAGACATATTGGTGAAGTCACTGTGCACATGCTCAGTTTGGTGTGTGTTGTTAGAGAGTTTTTTTTTTCTTGGAAGAGTGCATGTGGTCAGCACAGGGCCATTCGGCGCTCTTCAGACAGAAGTCAGGGATTCTGCATCCTCCTAGAGCAAAATGAAAACAAAATGCAAGCTTTAACATGTGCTCTGCTGGACACCGATAGAAGTCACAAGACTGCTATATACTGCTGATGAGAAAAGGGATCTATCAGTTTATATTTACTATATTAATTGCATTTCCATGTTCTGTGTACTGTGGGAGACCAGATATAGTGAATGCGGGGTCCGGGGAGAGCGGATATAGGAATGTGGGGTCCGGGGAGAGCGGATACAGTGAATGCGGGGTCCGGGGAGAGCGGATATAGTGAATGCGGGGTCCGGGGAGAGCGGATATAGTGAATGCGGGGTCCGGGGAGAGCGGATATAGTGAATGCGGGGTCCGGGGAGAGCGGATATAGTGAATGCGGGGTCCGGGGAGAGCGGATATAGTGAATGCGGGGTCAGGGAGAGCAGATATAGTGAATGCGGGGCCCGGGGAGAGCGGATATAGTGAATGCGGGGTCCGGGGAGAGCGGATATAGGGAATGCGGGGTCAGGGAGAGCGGATATAGCGAATGCGGGGTCCGGGGAGAGCGGATATAGTGAATGCGGGGTCCGGGGAGAGCGGATATAGCGAATGCGGGGTCCGGGGAGAGCGGATACAGTGAATGCGGGGTCCGGGGAGAGCGGATACAGTGAATGCGGGGTCGGGGAGAGCGGATACAGCGAATGCGGGGTCCGGGGAGAGCGGAAATACAGCGAATGCGGGGTCCGGGGAGAGCGGATACAGCGAATGCGGGGTCCGGGGAGAGCGGATACAGTGAATGCGGGGTTCCGGGGAGAGCGGATATAGGGAATGCGGGGTCCGGGGAGAGCGGATATAGCGAATGGGGGTCCGGGGAGAGCGGATACAGCGAATGCGGGGTCCGGGGAGAGCGGATATAGCGAATGCGGGGTCCGGGGAGAGCGGATACAGCGAATGCGGGGTCCGGGGAGAGCGGATACAGCGAATGCGGGGTCCGGGGAGAGCGGATACAGCGAATGCGGGGTCCGGGGAGAGCGGATACAGCGAATGCGGGGCGGGGAGAGCGGATACAGCGAATGCGGGGTCCGGGGAGAGCGGATACAGCGAATGCGGGGTCCGGGGAGAGCGGATACAGCGAATGCGGGGTCCGGGGAGAGCGGATACAGCGAATGCGGGGTCCGGGGAGAGCGGATATAGGGAATGTGGGGTCCGGGGTTTAGTAACACTTTAAGTTTTTAAATAAAATCTTTCCCTTTTCATTACATCTCTTTTGATGTCATCACTGGGTCTCTGTGCTTCTCCATGCAATACAGGCAGCTCATGGCTGGTGGGAGGGGCCAGCAGGGGGCTGTGCATAGCTTCCTGAACACACCCCAGTACCACGCCTCCTCTCAAGAGAACTCAGTCCTGATGTAAGCAGTAGGCTGGCTTTTGGGAGGATATTTTATTTGCATAAAACATCAGAAGGCTTTGATAGGTGGGAGTCAGTCTGAAGGCGTTTCTACGCAGGCAGAATTTGCTTGCAGGCTATGCTTGCTTGCACCCATATATGATGTTGAGCTTCCATGGTTGAAAGAACTGAGATCCATTGAATGAAAGTGGTGGGCCGGGGGGCAGTCAGGCTGGGGAGGGCTATAGCAGGGGTGTCCGACCCGTGAGAGATTAGCATGCATCGCAGGCATGTCTCAAGGGATGCCTGGTTGCAGTGCAAGCGCCGCCTTGATGGACCCAATTGAGCAAAGAGACATTCCCATCCAGCAAAGAGAAATCCCCTTCCAGCAAACAGACATCCCCTTCCAGCAAACAGACATCCCCTTCAGCAAAGAGACATCAACATCCCACAAAGAGACATCCCCATCCAGCAAAGAGACATCAACATCCAGCAAAGAGACATCAACATCCAGCAAAGAGACATCCCCTGTGGCTGACACATGGCCTGCCCCATGCACGCTGCAGGGACACCAGGCAAGCATCGCAGGCGCAGCAGCCGGCATTGACAAGCCAGGCAAAGGCACATCTGAAGGGATCCTGGGGCTGCCATGTTTGAAATAGCATCGGGAATGCAGCAGCACCAGATAAGTAAATGCTGCATGGCTGGATCTGGGGGGGGGGTAGGCATGCAGAGGTGCACTGTGCCCCCCCCCCATTTCAAATGCCCCCCCAAAGCCTGCCGCCCATAACCCCCCTCTGCCTCCCCACACATCACACACTTAGGCTACATCCACACTGGCAGTTCCTCTGGCAGGTTGACGCGGCTGACACATAATGACACCGCCAGCAGCCACACCTGTATGTGACTCTCTGTGCAGCCAACGGTTGCCTGCGGTGATCAATGCGGCACGCACTTTGTTCTCAGGAGCGATCTCTACGGTAATATATTACAAAAAATGAAGATTTATTCCTCAGATCGCTACGTTATCATGACCTGCCCGACCTTTCCAGCTCATCAGCTCTCCTTATTAGTGTATTTCATGTGCGGACCAAGATAATTCCTCCCCTTCCAATGTGGCCCAGGAAAGTCTAAAGATTGGACACCCCTGGGCTAGATGATGCCGGGCGTCCTCCAGACTGGAAATGAGGCGGAGCTCTATCTGATTTGCTGCAGCTTCTAATGCACAGTGAGAAGCTCCCAGTGTGCAGTGACATAAGAGGAATCCATTCCAGTCCAGGGGAGGAGCCAGTACACCTGTGCAAGACTGAAGGGGAGGAGCCGATACACCTGTGCAAGACTGAAGGGGAGGAGCCGATACACCTGTGCAAGACTGAAGGGGAGGAGCCGATACACCTGTGCAAGACTGAAGGGGAGGAGCCGGTACACCTGTGCAAGACTGAAGGGGAGGAGCCAGTACACCTGTGCAAGACTGAAGGGGAGGAGCCAGTACACCTGTGCAAGACTAAAGGGGAGGAGCCAGTACACCTGTGCAAGACTGAAGGGGAGGAGCCAGTACACCTGTGCAAGACTGAAGGGGAGGAGCCAGTACAGCTGTGCAAGACTGGAGGGGAGGAGCCGATACACCTGTGCAAGACTGGAGGGGAGGAGTGGTATACCTATGCAAGACTGGAGGGGAGGAGCAGATACACTGTGCAAGACTGGAGGGGAGGAGCCGGTACACTTGTGCAAGACTGACGGGGAGGAGCCAGTATAACTGTGCAAGACTGACTGGGAGGAGCCAGTATAACTGTGCAAGACTGAAGGGAGGAGCCGATACACCTGTGCAAGACTGAAGGGGAGGAGCCGGTACACCTGTGCAAGACTGAAGGGGAGGAGCTGATACACCTGTGCAAGACTGAAGGGGAGGAACTTGTACACCTGTGCAAGACTTAGGGGGAGGAGCCGGTACAAGTTCAATTTTTAGATATAGGTTAGGGGATCATTGTAAGTACAGGAATCACATAGTAAAGGGCACAATCACGTAGACAACACACCTGTACTACAAAGAAGACGTTCCTAGAATTCATATCCTATTTGGTGTCTATCCAATCATCATTTCACTCCGTGTAATATTCTGTCCCAGTGCAGAGTCCTTGTCTTCTGGACATAACAGAGAAGCTGCTGTAGAATACAACACCTCGGCACCCCGACATCACATCTGTTGTGGTTGTCCCCATCAAAACTATGAAGGAATTATTTGATTTATGAGAACCAGCGACTCCAGACTGCACACTCTGAAACGAATGGGATTCCTCCTGAAACTAAGGACCAGGCAACTGAACTAAATACGGTTCACTTATAGTTCCATTTATTTTATTGATATTATTGTTTGTGTTGTAATGTTTTCTGTAAAGATTTTCTTTTTTTTCTTTTCATGAAAAGAATATTTAAAAATCATTAAGCTGATTCTCTAAACGCTTTAACCCGAAACGAAGGAACTTGTCTCTGTGAGGAAAGCTGCCACTTAGTCTCTGTTACATTCCTGTCTGGACGTGGCGTGGCAGCGAGTGATACGGATGTTTAAAAGGTGCGTGTCTCTGCTAAAAAGATGTGGTGGCAGATATACAGGGAGGTGGCAGCCTTTCCTGTGTGTTCATCCCCGGTCACACCGCTGCGATTTAAAATGTGTGCAATTTCAGGTGTAATTTCTGAAGACTTTATTGCGACTTGTGAAGATTTTCAATGATTTCTTACAATTTGCATTCTATTCAATGTCTTTGAAATCGCAACAAAACTGCAGTAAAAGTCATGCAAGAGCTACTTTAGAACTCTTGCTGCAGCAAATCGCACATATTAAGACACCGACATTCACATTCATTAGATGCGATGTAAATTCCAAGTTGCACCCATCCAAAGTTGCATCAAAGTTGCACCCGAAAACTGCACGACTTTGGAGTTGTATATACACTACATTGCCCCAAGTATTGGGCCGCCGACCTTTCCACGCACATGACCTTTAATGGCCCCCCAGTCTTAGTCCGTAGGGTTCAATATTGAGTTGGCCCCGCCCTTTCCACGCACATGACCTTTAATGGCCCCCCAGTCTTAGTCCGTAGGGTTCAATATTGAGTTGGCCCCGCCCTTTCCACACACATGACCTTTAATGGCCCCCCAGTCTTAGTCCGTAGGGTTCAATATTGAGTTGGCCCCGCCCTTTCCACGCACATGACCTTTAATGGCCTCCCAGTCTTAGTCCGTAGGGTTCAATATTGAGTTGGCCCCGCCCTTTCCACACACATGACCTTTAATGCCCCCCAGTCTTAGTCCGTAGGGTTCAATATTGAGTTGGCCCCGCCCTTTGCAGCTATAACAGCTTCAAACTCTTCTGGGAAGGCCGTCCACAAGGTTTAGGAGGGTGTCTATGGGAAGGTTGGACCATTCTTCCAGAAGCACATTTGTCAGGTCAGGCACTGATGTCGGGGGAGGAGGCCTGGCTCGCAGTCTCCGCTCTAATTCATCCCAAAGGTGTTCTATGGGGTTGAGGTCAGGACTCTGTGCAGGACAGTCAAGTTCCTCCACCCCAAACTGGCTCCTCCATGTCTTTATGGACCTTGCTTTGTGCACTGGTGGGCAGTCATGTTGGAACAGGAAGGGGCCATCCCCAAACTCCTCCCACAAAGTTGGGAGCATGAAATTGTCCAAAATGTTTTGGTATGCTGACGCCTTAAGAGTTCCCTTCACTGGAACTAAAGGGCCAAGCCCAACCCCTGAGGAACACCCCCACACCATAATCCCCCCTCCACCAAACTGTACATTTGGCACAATGCAGTCAGGCAAGTACCGTTCTCCTGGCAACCACCAAACCCAGACACGTCCATTGGATTGCCAGACAGAGAAGCGTGATTGGTCCCTCCAGAGAACACATCTCCTCTGCTCTAGAGTCCAGTGGCGGCGTGCTTTACACTACGGCATCCGACGCTTTGCATTGCACTTGGTGATGGAAGGCTTGGATGCAGCTGCTCGGCCATGGAAACCCATTCCATGCAGCTCTCTACGCACTGTTGTTGGGCTCATCTGAAGGCCACACCAAGTTTGGAGGTCTTTAGCTATTGACTCTGCAGACAGTTGGCGACTTCTGCGCACTGTGCGCTTCAGCATGCGCTGACCCCGCCCTGTCATGTGACGTGGCCTACCACTTGGTGGCTGAGTGGCTGTTGTTCCCAGTGGCTTCCACTTTGTTATAATCCCACTAACAGTTGAGCGTGGAATATTTAGTAGCCAGGAAATGTTACGGATGGACTTATTGCCCAGGTGGCCACCTATCATGGGACCACGCTTGGAGTCACTGAGCTCCTGAGAGCGACCCATTCTTTCACCAATGTTTGTAGAAGCCGTCTGCATGCCTAGGGGATGGATTGTATACACCTGTGTCCATGGAGGGGATTGGAACACCTGAATCACATGATATGGAGGGGATCGGAACACCTGAATCACATGATTGGGAGGGGATTGGGACACCTGAATCACATGATATGGAGGGGATTGGAACACCTGAATCACATGATTGGGAGGGGATTGGGACACCTGAGTCACATGATTGGGAGGGGATTGGAACACCTGAATCACATGATTGGGAGGGGATTGGAACACCTGAATCACATGATTGGGAGGGGATTGGAACACCTGAATCACATGATTGGGAGGGGATTGGAACACCTGAATCTCATGATTGGGGAGGGTGGGGCCAATACTTGGGGCAGTATAGTGTACAATGTTACCATTTTCTACAATCCAGTCCAATAAAGTGTTTTATAGGAATTCTCTGCAGACAGTTTCTAATACGAAGAGTGATAATAATAGTAATAATAGAAGAAGCCTCCTGCGGTGTTCCTCCCGATCCTCCTGCGGTGTTCCTCCCGATCCTCCTGCGGTGTACCTCCCGATCCTCCTGCGGTGTTCCTCCCGATCCTCCTGCGGTGTTCCTCCCGATCCTCCTGCGGTGTTCCTCCTGATCCTCCCGCGATATTCCTCCCGATCCTCCTGCGATATTCCTCCCGATCCTCCTGCGGTGTTCCTCCCGATCCTCCTGAGGTGTTCCTCCCGATCCTCCTGAGGTGTTCCTCCCGATCCTCCTGAGGTGTTCCTCCCGATCCTCCTGCGGTGTTCCTCCCGATCCTCCTGCGATATTCCTCCCGATCCTCCTGCGGTATTCCTCCCGATCCTCCTGCGATGTTCCTCCCGATCCTCCTGCGGTTTTTCCTCCCGACCCTCCTGCGGTGTTCCTCCCGACCCTCCTGCGGTGTTCCTCCCGACCCTCCTGCGGTGTTCCTCCCCATCCTCCTGCGGTGTTCCTCCCGATCCTCCTGCGATGTTCCTCCCGCGATGTTCCTCCCGATCCTCCTGCGGTGTTCCTCCTGCGGTGTTCCTCCCGATCCTCCTGCGGTGTTCCTCCCGATCCTCCTGCGGTGTTCCTCCCGATCCTCCTGCGATTTTCCTCCCGATACTCCTGCGATATTCCTCCCGATCCTCCTGCGGTGTTCCTCCCGATCCTCCTGCGGTGTTCCTCCCGATCCTCCTGCGGTGTTCCTCCCGATCCTCCTGCGGTGTTCCTCCCGATCCTCCTGCTGTGTTCCTCCCGATCCTCCTGCGATATTCCTCCCGGTCCTCCTGCGATATTCCTCCCCATCCTCCTGCGGTGTTCCTCCCCATCCTCCTGCGGTGTTCCTCCCGATCCTCCTGCGGTGTTCCTCCCCATCCTCCTGCGGTGTTCCTCCCGATCCTCCTGCGATATTCCTCCCCATCCTCCTGCGATGTTCCTCCTGATCCTCCACGTCTCTCCATGTCTTGTTATTTCCTCCACATCCGGCCATCTGTCCAGCCATTGTTCGTGGTGTCTTGTCTGCGCTCTCCGCGCGCTCCGGATCTGTACGTCGCACACATTGTCTGTCCTGGTTCTGTCTGCGTGCCAAGTGGAGGAACAATTCCCCCCGGAGAGGGAGGAGAGGGAGGAGAGGGAGGAGAGGGCTGTTTACATCTGGAAGACTAGGATGGAAGCTTCCATCGGGGTTCAGAGCGCTCACCATGCTGGCCGGCTGCAGGCAGGACACGGTTCACGTTCTCGGTAAGTCCTTCTTTTATTCCCGCTGCTGTGATCGCTGTCCTAGTCTGGCAACGAGTCCCATTTAAGGCTCGGTCACATTAGCAGTTGAGGGGAGGTAAAACCTTGTGGTCAAGACACTTTTTTTTTTTACTGCCCCCCAAACTGCTCTCCATTTTGCTGCGGAGGCAACCACCAGCGGTGTGCACAAGCAAGGCAGAAATGACGCCCCCGGATGCTATTGGTGGGGATAAGGCCGCTCTGCAAGCATTCACAAACCGCAGGCAACGTCGGTGGGTCAAACGGGTGATACGACGCCTCCTCCTCGCTGCCTCTTGAATGCACTCTGAGAAGCGATCTAAACATGGATCGAACTTCAGAAACCAAAGCAAGTGTGACTGAGCTCTAAAAGTGAAACTTTTCACAACAAATATACAGTCTGCCAGTAGCATTCATACAGCAGTTTGTGTTTTCCTCAGTCCCCCCCAATAACATGGATTTATCACCTGATAATTCTGACCAGTAGATCTGCTGATTTTTCTACTACCTGTAACAAGGTGACAACGCTGTTTGTTCTTCAGTGAAATCATAGCGCGTTGTCACCCTTTGACAGCTTTACATGGACTTACTGACAAAGCAGTGAAAGTGACTTTCAGCATTTGCTGGTGGTGAATCCATCTTCCCGAGCTGGAAGATTCCCCGGCACTGAATGTTTCGGTGAATATCAGAGTCACTGCTTTACAAAAACAAAAAAAAATGTGGTAATAACACTGACAGACGGCATTTTACATATTTGTCATTTTTTTTGTTGCACGGCGCAGACTGTTGGTGTCATATGCACCTTATATATATAAAGAAGAAGAGGAAT